TGATTTTATTGACACTGTAAATCCAGAAACAAAAAGACCTTTGAGAGGGAGAGGCAGCAGTATTTACTTGAGATTTAAAAATAAGGAGTAGCTGTTTGGGGGAACATTGACTCAGGCAGAAGGCCACACAGTGCTCCATTCGGAGACCGACAGTGGGCTTTTGTGAGGAGGGACTGGGATGATGACATCAGTGGAAGGTCACGTTCCTGTTGTGCAGATCGCATAACAGTGATGCTAATTCTAAACAGTGTTTTCATTCGCAGCCCAGAGTCATAACAACTGCTTTCTTGTCATCTCTGCAAACAGTTCTTAGGAAAACAGGCTGCGTAGGCCCAGCGCAAAGGCCTGTTTTTCCGTTTTGGCCTTCCACAGGTGTGAGGCACAGATGCGCAGGCAGTTCCTCTGGCCTGGCCTCCTACACAGGCGTCAGTGGGGCTGGCCACGCTCCCAGCCTTTCCTTCTGAAAGACTCACAGGAACAGGCCCTCAGCACGAGCCGGTGTCCACGGAGGGACGAGTCCCCGGCCCTCTCCCCATGCCCGGCCCTGGCAGAACCTGCACCTGCTCTGGGGTGCAGCGCAGCATCTGAAATTTTTTACCTCATTTTTCATTCAATTGCAAGTTTCGTCCTACTTGATATTTGTTTTCATATGGAAAATAGCTGGGAGCGGAAATATCCTCAACCCCAGAGAAGGGAACACAGGTGTGTATGCAACCTGCTCCACCACAGGAGGGCGCTTGTCGGGGTCCCTTTTTTCAGAGAAGCAGCAACCTCTAGGCAATGTCCTCACGCAATGCAGCAAGGATCTACTTGTATTTAAGTGACACTACAGCCTGGCCAGCGTGGCTCAGTGGTTGAGCATCGACCTATGAACCAGGAGGTCACGATTTGATTCCCGGTCAGGGCACATGCCGGGGTTGCGTACTCGATCTCCAGTGTGAGACGTGCAGGAGGCAGTTGATCAATGATTTTCTCTCATCCCTAATGTTTCTCTCTCTCTCTACCCTCTCTCTTCCTCTCTGAAATCAATAAAAATAGATTTAATAAGTAAATAAATAGCACTTACATGCCACTCAAGACATGCAGGTGCTTTATGTAAGTGTCACTTCCTGCAGAAAACAAAATAGAGCCGATGAAAGATGCTGTGCCAGTTGGGGTGCCACCGTGGGGGTCATGGCGAGCAGCGCGTGGCCGGTGCCTCTGCTGTGGCTGCAGGACACTGATCTGTGATGGGAACGGTTGTGACTTGGGGAGGATAAGACGCACACCGCCGGCGTGTTGGGATTCTGGATGACTCCTGGGAGTGGGCCAGTGGGAGCCGAGAGGAGCCTCAGGCCCAGCTCAGAGGCCAGGTCATGCCATCCAGGGGCCACGGGTCAGGGGAAGCACACGAGGGCTGAGAGGGAGTCCTGGCCGGGTGGCTGAGTTGGTTGGAGCATCATCCCCACACCAAGAGGTTGTGGGTTCGATTCCCGGTCAGGGCACATACCTAGGTTGTGGGTTTGATCCCGGATTGGAGTGTGTATGTGAGGCAATGGGTTGATGTTTCCCTCTCACATTGATAATTCTCTCTATCTCTTTCCATTCACAAGCTGGTGGAAATAAACACACAGTCCCAATCTCCCAGTTCCATTTTTCTGACAGCAAAGGCACGAGGTGAAGAAAAAGGGTGTTCAGCCCTGGCTGGTTTTGCTCAGTGGATAGAGCATTGGCCTGCAGACTTAAGGGTCCCGGGTTTAATTCCGGTCAGGGGCACATGCCCGGGGTTGTGGGTTTGATCCCCAGTAGGAGATGTGCAGGAGGTGGCCGATCAGTGATTCTCTCTCATTATTGTTTCTATCTCTCTCCCCCTCCTTTCCTATCTGAAATCAATAAAAATATATTTTAAAAAGGAAGAAAGAAAGAAAAAGGGCTGAGTGGGAGTTGAACTCCTTATGGGAAAACCCAGTTTTAAGACCAGCAGAACCAAAGTACTACTAATATGGGAGCATTATTTCAGAACCTCTCTTTCAGAAATTCTATGAGCCAAAATAGCATTCTAACATGTTGTTTTTATACATTTCTGACACTAAATGTAGGGCCTAGTATCCTATATAATAAAAGGGTAATATGCAAGTTGACCCTAATGGTTGAACGACCAGGAACAACCAGTCACTATGACGTGTACTGACCACCATGGGGCAGATGCTAATGCAGGAGCTGCCCCCTGGTGGTCAGTGTGCTCACACAGGGTGAGCGCCTCTCACCCAGAAGCCGGACTCACTGCTGGCGAATGCAGTTGCGATGGCGGGAGCCTAAGGAGCAGTGAGCCGAGTGGTAAGGAGCAGCAAGCAGGTGGATGATAAGGAGCAAGGGGTCCTGGGACCCCTGAGGGCTCCTGGACTGCGAGAGGGCGTAGGCCAGGCCGAGGGACCCCTCGTTTCCCCCTCCCCCCACTGCATGCCTTTTGTACACCAGGTCTCTAGTCTAGGAATAGAGCAGTATATTCAAATGAAAGAGAACTAATATATATGCAGTGTCATACTCTGTAAATGTCAGGTAATTAATTTTATCTTGAGCGGTTTCAGTGAGTGAGCCACTTCCTCTTTTCTCCTGGGTCTGATCAGTATCCATGTAGGGCCTCTCCTCTGAGTTTACTCTTCCATGCGGGCTCTGTGACAATGGCCTTGGTTCCTGTGAGCATTTTCCCTGCTTGGTGGGCCTGCTAAGCTTTCTCAGTAGGGGATGCTAGAGGGGCATTGCAGGAGGAGGCTGGCTTCCGCTGTGGCTTCTGGCTGCTGCTCAGGCTGGTGGTGGTTGGTGTGTGTGGGGGGAGGATGAAAGGAGGATTGCAGTGAGGGTGTGAGGACATCCAGGACGTGCTGGAAAGGTGCAGTCCCTCGGCCACTGGCCCGGCGCTGTGACTGCCATAACCCAGCGCCCTCCACACAGTTCATGAGGTGTAGGCCTCCTGTCCACACTGGAGCTCCCACTCCCTCTGCCCACCCTCCCCTTTGGACTTTTGTGTTCTGTGGCCCTTATGACGCTGTGGTCCTCCCGACACTGACACCAGAGCCCTCACTCCCTCTGTATGTCCGGCTGTGGCCTGTGTGCCTGGACAGCTGCCTCCCAATGGCCCAGGGGCTGCAGACCAGCTCTGGCCCCGGAGAACCAGTGCTTCTGACACCAGTGGCTGCAACAGCACCTTTCCAGTGCGAACTGAGCCCCTCCGGGGGGCGGGGCGCCTCCTTGGATATTCTGTCAGCCCTACTGTGTTCTCTAACCAGACTCACTGGTCCCTCCACCCGATGCCAGACCAGCCTGCCCTCTAGCTCGATGGATTTTCTTCTGACCCCTCGTTAGTGCTGACCACACACACTCCTCCCTGGGTTGCTGGATTTGGCAAGTAAAAATACAGCGCACCCTGTTCACTTGAAATTATATAAACAAAAGTTTTTAGTACAAGTGTGTCCCAAATGTTGCATGGGCTATATTTACACTAAAAGGTTACTTGTTGAAATTCAGGTTTAACTTCCCCTCCCACAGCTGTTCCTCAGCCCAGCCTCTAGGGCAGTGGTTCTCAACCTGTGGCTCTTGATCCCTTTGGGGTTCGAATAATCCTTTCACAGGGGTCGCCTAAGACCATCAGAAAACACATATATAATTACATATTGTTTTTGTGATGAATCACTATGCTTTAATTATGTTCAATTTGTAACAATGAAAATACATCCTGCATATCAGATAGTTACATTACGATTCATAACAGTAGCAAAATTACAGTTATGAAGTAGCAACGAAAATAATTTTATGGTTGGGGGTCACTACAATATGAGGAACTGTATTAAAGGGCCATGGCATCAGGAAGGTTGAGAACCACTGCTCTAGGGAGAAGAGGAAATGTATCAGCCACCCTCTCTAACCAGCAGGGGGCAGCACTAGCCTTTAAGGCAGTGAGGTGGGTTTTTCCTCTGCTTCTCTCTTGTAAATGGTGGATGATAAGACACAGGCTTAAGTTACCCTTTAGCCCTCTTTATCTGAGGGATCCCCATTACTTTGACAAACATTTCCCCCCTCCCCAAACACAAAGTTGATCAAGGCACCTCCACAGACTCTTATGATCCAGTATTGCCTCATTAATCATACTCTATTTGGTGTAAGTGGATGGACTTCTCTATCCTGATATTGTTTAAACATTTAGTGGCCTGAACATTTTGTAGGGATTGAAAACTGGTAGCCCACAAACTGAATTTGACACTTGGCCTTGGAAACTATACCCATGAGTGCAGACCCCGCGGGTTAGCATGTGAGCCAACGAGCAAGCTCTCATGTCTGCTCTTTCTGCACCCTGGAGAAGGCTCCGCGCCCCACTTGCCTTCTGATCGCCCATCTTCCTGCAGCAGGTGGTCCACCCTGTGCATGCAGCTGAGGTGGCATCCCTCTGCGTCTCCCACAGTTTCAGGCAGATGCCTCTTTAAAACTCAGGGACACACTTGTGGGCGAGGGACTTCTGACCTCTGCAGAATGCTCCATGGCGACTAGGTACTGCCCCAGTCCATCCCACTAACCACGGGTTTGGCCTACACCCATTGGCTCCTGGCCATGTTAACACTCCCACTTCCTTTGACCTTGGGTTGCCTTTGGACATGTGACTTCCCATGTTGCACTGGTCCATTTGTGTGCTGGCCCATCTTCCCACCCTCCTCTGCATGGAGCATGGTGCCAGGTGCCTGCTCTGGCACCCACCTCCTCCCAAGGGATCTGCCCTGGCGCCTGGGCAGTGACGTTTCAGGACAACCTTGCTTTGCTTTAGAGCTGACGGTGGCCACTGTGAAGGGGGAGACTCTGATTTCTCCTGATGTCCTTTGTGCCTTTTCCTGGGACACTTGGTGATGGTGGTGTGGCCATCTTCCAGGACATAACACGGAGCTCTTCTCCTTGTCAACTTTCTGACCACACGTGAAGGCGACACTAGATTCAGGGGGATTGTGGGGCGAATGAAGGGCAACGCGGAGCCACCCTCCTTGTGAGCATTGCTCTCAGTGCTCACAACACCCAAGGCAACTTTATTCGGGCCTCTGCACACGGATGAACATTCCTCCCATCAGCCTGCGGGTGGCTGAGGCCTGCCTGCGGGTTTGCAGGGGCGACAGGACCCTCCTGCCTCCCTGGCGTCAGCCTGCAGCTGGGTTGGCGACCTTTCCCAGGAGGAGTAAGCTCTGGGTGGTCACCTCCCAGACAAGCACCAGGAAAGGCCTGTTGAAATGGGCGTGGGGGGCCCATGTCACGTTCAGAGGTCGGGGTTGGGAGAGGAGGCCGGAGGCAGCCCCAGCCTTGGTTCCCCGCTCACTCATGTTGATGGCTGCCTTGTGCGACACCTAGAGGAGAAGAGAGGGCAGGGACAGCTCAGGACACTCCAAGGGCAGAGTCTGCCCTGTGGGGCACCAGGAGAGGCAGGCAGAACGTCCAGGTCTCCCAGGCCCCGCCTTCCAAGACAGCACCTTCGTGTTATTTTCCTCCTCTCCCCATCTTCCTCTGCCATGTTCTGGGGGCTCACCCTGAAGGTGCATTTGCTCCGTGGTGGGGAGACCAGCAAACCTGAGCCAGGCCGCTGAAACCCAACAGTGCCCTCCAGAATGTTCTCAGATCCTGGGAGTATGTGGCACAGGCCCAGGTATCATTTTCCACCACCAGCTGCATTTCCTCTCGCTAAGCCTCAGTTTTCTCATCTCTATAATGGCCTGCTCAGCCTCAATCAGTGGTTCAAATGCGCTCCGTGGAACCGGCTGTCTGGTGCTGGCCCTCTGCTCGCCTCAGCTCTGTCTTAGGAGGAAGTGTAGGAGACAGAGCAAAGTTGTCCCACACCTGGATGTCACCGAATGTGTGTCTTCTCTATTCCGGACTCTGTCTCCTTGTTCTGAGGACTGGCGAGAGAACTGGAAAGGGTGCTGCCGGGAAAGGGAGCCTCACAGTTCAGTGGCCTAGCCTCTGAACTACTTCCTAAACCCATCTATTGGCAACCCCTATACAACACCGGCATAGGGAAGAGAAAGGAGAACTTGACTTTCAAATCTACACTTCATGTCAAGGGGGAGAAGACCCCCTCCCACTGCCCGGCCCGGTGGCCTCCGTACCCGGAAGATGGTTCCATTCAGCCGCCCAGGGGCTCCCAGCAAGTCGGCTCCTAAGTTGAAAATGTTGCTGAGCCCGATGTGGGGAAGTATCTCTTCCAGGTTATATGCTCCAGAAATGGCAAACCTTGGCAAGTGCAAGTCCAGCACGCTGCGGAGAGAACCAGACAGGGAGGCCCCCCTGGCCGTGGGCAGCCTGCGTGCTGGCAGGAAGAAGTGTTTCCCAGAGTGAGGGGAACCAGTCTTCCTGGGACACTGCCTGCTGTGCCAGAACACTCCACAGCCCCCAGCCCACAGCCCTTCTCCTCGGACATTGTAGAGCTCTGTGGCCTCTTCCCAGAGCCCTTCAGGTCTCTCCGTCTGATCTGAGAAGGGGCACAGCGAAGCACTGGGCCAGGGTTTTTACAAAGCGTAACTGCTCGGATCCACATACTTCCCACCATTCTCCTACGTCCCCGTCTGCTCCTCAGCAAGTCCTGTCGGCCTAGCCTCTGAACTACTTCCTAAACCCATCTATTGGCAACCCCTGTGCAAGCCCTTCGCCTCTCACTGTCTGAGCTTCAGGGTCTGATGAGAGCCAGTGACCGTCAAGCGTGGGCACCGATCGCCAGCGTGACTCTCCTGCTCCTGACATGCCTTGACCGGCATTTCCTGGGTTCAGTTTGCAGGTTCTTTGAACACAGAGCAAACCTGTCCTTTTCTTTTGGGGGCTATTCTTCTCAGTTACTCGACAGTTACTGGGGCACCTGCAAGCCGGGCTGGTGAATAACCAGCTCAGAGACTTCTGCCTCTAATGAACCCAGCTTGGAGAGCCGAATTCAGGTTAGGGAACCCTTACACTCTAGCTCCTGGGGGCAGCGTGAGGGTCCAGGTGCCCATGTGAAGTGTGGGCAGTCAGAAGTTGGGGTTAAACTGTGAAAAGAAGGAAACGGAGGTGGAGAGCAGGGCAGGCCCCACCCTTCAGGGGGGTTTGCGTAGAGTTGCCTCCGTACCCAGAAGATGGTTCCATCCAGCCGCCCAGGGGCTCCCAACAAGTCGGCTCTTGAGTTGAAAATGTTGCCGAGCCCGATGTGGGAAGTATCTCTTCCAGGTTATATGCTCCAGAAATGGCAAACCTTGGCAAGTGCAAGTCCAGCAGGCTGCTGGACACACCCCAGGTGTCCACCCAATGTGCGTGAAGAAGGAAGTTACCAGGAAGTGTGCTTTCCCCAGGCTAGCGAACCGTCCTCCCAGCTGAGTGGACTGAGGGAGACCAGACTGGAGGAGGGGGGCAGGTCTGAAGTTTTCATGCTGAAAGCCCATTAAAATGCTGCTCTAAAATTTAACTCTGGCCTGAGAAACATTTGAGATTTAGGAAAGTCACTTGGGTTGATTTTGCTTCTTGAATGTCCAAGTAAGAGGTCAAAACAGACCCATCCTGAAGGAAAACCTATTGGTCTAGAACAGTGGTTCTCAACCTTCCTAATGCTGCAACCCTTTCATACAGTTCCTCATGTTGTGGTGACCCCCAACCATAAAATTATTTTCATTGCTACTTCATAACTGTAATTTTGCTACTGTTATGAATCATAATGTAAATATCTGATATGCAGGATGTATTTTCATTGTTACAAATTGAACATAATTAAAGCACAGTGATTCATCACAAAAACAATATGTAATTATATATGTGTTTTCCGATGGTCTTAGGTGACCACCGTGAAAGGGTCATTCGACCCCCAAAGGGGTCGTGACCCACAGGTTGAGAACCGCTGGTCTAGAAGATCCTATGAGACTTCCTCGTGAGACGGGGAAGAGCAAGCTCACCCCGAAGGGAGCTGAGGTGATGGGGTTGGACTCAGAAACTGACAGGAGCTATGTAGATTCACAGTCAACAAGGAAACATCCTTAGACCTGGCCTCTGTCCTTGACCCGTATCTCTTTTATTTGGCGCTGGAATCTGTCCAAACACAAAGCACCCTTTGCTCTCCCTGGAACCTCGGTGTGGTTGGGTGATGAGCGGAGGCTGGTGGTAGGCTAGAGAGGATCAGGAGGTTTGTCTGTACTCCGCCCCTCGACGCCGGTGGATTCTGTGATACTCTGGCCAACAGCACAGGACAGAAGCTGTCCTTTTTAGCCGAGGCCTTAAGAGAGCAGGAGCTTTCACTCCGTGTCTCCTTGGAGCCCAGAGCTGCCATGTAACAATATCAATGATGCTGAGCTGCTGTGCAGAAGACCACGCTAGCTTCATGGAGACGCTGGATGGACACCGAGAGAAGGCCAGACTAGCTTTGTGGAGACCCTATGTGGAGACAGAAGACCAAGCTAGCTTCATGGAGACACTGCATGGAGACAGAGAGATGCCTGCCCAGCCCTTAGCTGTGACAGCCACCAAGCCCAGGACCAGATATCTGAGCAGTGGAGTCTTCATGCCCCAGCCCTAGCCATCATCTGACTTCAATGCAGGAGAGACCCCAAGTCAGAACTGCCCAGCTAGGCTGATCTACTCATAGAATCGAGAGAGAGAGAGAGAGTGAGTAGATGTTGTTTTCCAAGCCATTCCGTTTTGGGGTGGTTTGTTAGCAGCAGAGGTCATTAGAACTCAAGGCCAGCTTTCATACCAGGTGCCTCATAAGGGACGACACACCCCAAGAAGGAGTTGGCTCTTGAAGGGGTCTAGCCAACCTGGAAAAGACTAAAACTACTGTGAGAAAACCACACACTGACAAGCAAGAGACAGGAGGGGTCAGATTGCGATCCCATTAAACTGGGATCTGATTTTACAGTGCTCTTCTTGGTTTTTAGTTTCTTTAAGAAATGTTTTAATAAAAAGATGCACTTGTAAGAAATTCACAGTGACCTGAGGGAGTCATAATTATTCTTAGTAATTGTCCTTGACCTGATTTTTTTGCCACAGTCGACCATCTTCTGACAGTAAATCATGATTTGGACAAAGGGAGAAGCAAGGGAAGGGAGGCTGAGCAGAAAGATGCCCGGGAGGGCGGAGAATGACTCAGCCCTCACTTCCCCTGGTGAGCGCTTCTCACGCACCAGGTCGCTCCTCGGTGCTCCATGTATATGCACGCGGCTAATCCTCCAAACAACCCAGTGTGGTGGTGACCAGGGCCTCGGTGTACAGGGGAGGAAATCAGGCCCAGAGGTAAGAAAATTGCCCAAGATCACAGCTGGTCATCCTAACCTAGGGTTGGCCCCTTGCACTTGGAGTTAAGAACTCCTCGGGGACCTGCACCAGGTGTGCCGGAGTCCTGCTCCTCGTCGCTTACCTGGGCAGGAGCAGCTGGCTCCATGTCCGCAGGGTCTCAGGCTGCAGAGCCGCCTCCACCTGCTGCATTTGCCCCGGGTCCGGGAGGATGAGCAGGGCCAGCGCGTTGCCGCTGTACTCGATCTGCAGCACCGTGCAGGCCCGCTCCTGGTCGTACAGGAACCTGTGCATTTCCTTCTGGTGCATCATGGGGATGTGGAGGGAGGTCCTCTCGTTCACGAAGAAGCTCTCTTGCTTCGGGGTCTGGTAGCGCTGGAAAGGATGCTTCCACTTGGCTTGGGACACAAAACCCGTAGATCCGTGAGGACACAGAACCCATAGAACCATGAGAACACAAAACCCATAGAATCGTGAGGACACAAACCCGTAGATCCGTGAGGACACCCAACCAATGACCACGTATCGCCGATCCTCTCTCCACAGCCACCCTCTTCCTCACTTTGTTCCACTTTAAGAACGTCCTAACTTGTCTCTCCAACCCTCACTTCCCCCAACCCATGTTCTACATTGTAGCCAGACTGATCTTCCTCAAAACCAGGGGTCCTCAAACTATGGCCCGCGGGCCACATGCAAATACAAATATTGTATTTGTTCCCATTATGTTTTTTTACTTCAAAATATATGTGCAGTGTGCATAGGAATTTGTTCGTAGTTTTTTTTAAACTATAGTCCAGCCCTCCAACGGTCTGAGGGACAGTGAACTGGCCCCCTGCTCAAAACAGGTGTGGCCATGCCCCTTCCCTCTTCCAGCTGTTTGGGAATCCTGGGTCCCAGAGACAGTCTAGGACTCGCAGCACAGCTCCGGCTCATCTTCTCACTGCAGCGCTCGCAATCCCCCAGGCATCCCCCAATTCCTTCTGTTTCAGTCCAACCAATGTGCTTCATTCCTGAGAACACGTGGTATCTCTGTAGCTCGGGCTTCTACTTACGCTGCTGTCTCTTCTGAAACCCCTTCTCTCCGCCTCTCCTACAGCTTCATTCTTCATGTCTGGCTTAGATTCCTTCTCTCCCAGGGAGGCTCCCACCCCTCCCCTGCAGAGTGCCGTTCCCACGGAGCTGTGACTGCCTTTTTCCTCATCTACAACGCACGTACATGCAACCCTGCGCTACAGGGTGGGGAACCGTCTCTTACCATAAATCTCCCAAGTCCTCTCACCCAGCCTTCCTCCTGGGAAAAACATCAAACAAATCCCCCCTGAGGATATTCTACGAAACACCTGGCAGTCCTCCTCCCCATGGCCATTAAAGGCAAGGAGAGGCTGAGAAGCTGTCCCTGCCAAGAGGAGCCTAAACTGACATGACTGAGTGTAAGGTAGATCATGGATGGGACCTCGGAATAGGAAACAACATGAGGTAAAAACAAAAAAGCATGAGAAGTATAAAGATATATGTATGAATTCAGGAAAGAACTGAAGTAAAAACAAAAACAAAAATTGTGACATGTTCAGTGCAACAGTCAAAATTATATAAATTATAACATGGTAATGACACTAACACATAAGTGTGAAATAATATGTACAGGACGAGAGCATTTGTGTAAAATCTTTACACACATTAGTGTGTAACTGATGATGTGCACACCCTTAATGAGCTCACGGCGCACACACATGGGTGAGGGGGATGCACACCTGCCCGAGGACAGCCCTAGCCTCCGGGAGGGACGGAGGGAAGGAAAGGGGACGAGGAAAGCATTAAAAAGAAATTGAACTTTATCTGTCATATTTTTTTAAAAGTATGAATCAAATGGTAAAATGCTAATGTTTTCATTCTTGGTGGGGGGAGTGTATGGTGGTTTTATATTTTTCTTTGTATACTTCTGTATGTTTCAAATCAATAATAATATAAAAATAAAATATTTGCCCGGCTGGTGTTGCTCAGTGGTTGAGCGTTGACCTATGAACCAGGAAGCCATAGTTCAATTCCCAGTCAGGGCATGTGCCAGGCTTGTGGGCTCAATCCCCAGTAGAGGACGTGCAGGAGGCAGCTGAGCGATGATTCTCATCATTGATGTTTCTCACTCTCTCTCCCCCTCTTCATTCCTCTCTGAAATAAAATATATGAATAAGACATTTTTCTAAAATTGAATTGTTACTAGAAAGGTGAGACTGAGTGTATAACAAAAAGAATCAGAATAAAAATAGAATAGAAAAAATAGCAAGAGAAACCAAATATTTGCAAATGAAGAAGTAGTGGTATAAGCACATTGTTGAATACTATAGGGCCGGTACATGAAATTCATGCACTCAGGGCAGGGTCCCTCAGCCGGCCCTGCGCCCTCTCACAGTCCGGGAGCCCCTGTCGGGAGTGGGCCTAAGCCAGCAATCAGACATCCTTAGCGCTGCCCTGGAGCCTCTCCTGCCACTGCAGCTGGGCTTGCAGCTGTGAGCCTGGCTTCTGGCAGCGCACTGATCACGGAGGGGGGGGGGGGGGCAGCTCCTGCATTGAGTGTCTGCCCTCTGGTGGTCAATGCATGTCATTATGACAGGTCATTCCACTGTTTGGTTGATTTGCGTATTAGCCTTTTATTATACAGGATGCAGGGTCACTGCCTTAAGAAACATTTGTGACTTTAGGATGGTGCCTTTGAGGGCGGGGCTGGAGGTGGAGGGTGGGCGGGGCCGGTGTTGGAGGAAGTGATCAGTCTGCCAGGCTAGCACTCACCTTTGAAGAAGATGTAGTTCAGGAGAACCATGGGCGTGTCCTCGCTGAACTCCTGCAGGCCGTCCACCACCTGCCCGTACGTTTGCTTCCTCACGTAGTCATTCATCTGCCTCCAGGCGGTGGCAGAATCCGTGAGGTTAACAGAGAAAGCCAAGGCTCCATACAGCTCCCTGATGTCGTCCAGAAAGCGCTGACGCGGCTTCAGCTGCTTGTCCAGGAACAGGGAGTGGCCTGCTTTCAGCTCCAGTTTGGGACTGGGCAGGTCAAGGGCGCGGAGGAGGCTCTGGAAGCCGCGGTGGATGCTGGCCTGCGGGGTCCCCGTGAGGTTAAAGCCCAGGCCCTGCAGGATGTGGGTCGAGGTGTCGGCTCGGGCCCCGAGAGAGAGCAGGGCCAGGGTGCTGGCGATGCTCACCGGGGAGAAGAGGATGTTTCCTGGGGTTTCCGCTGCCAGCTGCTTGTACACGCGCAAAGCAAAGCTGGTGATGGTGGGTGTGACTTGGCGGTAGGCGGGCGCTGGCTCTGGGAGCCGACCCCTGGGGGCTTGAGGCAACCCCGGGCTCTTGTCTCCATGGGCAGAGGCCAGGATCCCTGCTCCCAGCAGCCACAGCCACAGCCACGCTGGCTCCATCCTCTGAAAACAAGAGGTTGAGCACATCACTCAGTGACGTCACAGCTCCCCCCATTGCTCCCTCCACAAACCTCACATCCAGACTGTGTCCCACAGGGTCATGAGGGCCCTGCAGAGGATGAGGGAGGGGGAGCAGCGGGCTCGGGACACTTCCCCCCAAGGCTTCAGTCAGAGTGGGGGCCCTTTATCTGCTCTACACATTGATACGTTACAGGATATTGCTGAGAAAAGGACTCTGGGTTATAAAAGCAACTTCCATGGTCCCCTCCCTCCTTCCCTCCCTCCCTCCATGGTTTGTTTTCCCTGCACCCATCTTTCTTTCCCCCCCCCCTTTCTTTTTCCCCTTCTTTCCAGTCATTCCTCTAATTCATTACGTTTTAACGAGATGAGAATGATGCTCAGAACTCCTGAGCGAATGTTTAGGACATGGTGGCAATGCGTGTTGCTGGGCCTCCTTTGCATCTGGGTGTGACCATGAGCTATAATCTCGCCAGTCAGTCGGAGAGGAGAGGAAGGCACGTGTAACTCCTGGGATAGGCTCTGGCAGGGGGAGGCGTGCCCTCTCCACGTTGGTCTTCCATAGCTGGAGTGTGGCTGTGATGGGCAGCCTCGGGGGCCTTGTGGATGAGGGCAGCCTTTGAGGGAGCCTCGCCAGAGATGGATGGAGCCTGGGGGCTGACGTGAGAGAGAGAGATCACCTCTGCCTCCATCAGGCTCATTACCGCAAGCACCTCTTGTCACATGCCTTGACTCAAACTCTATCTTTACTGATGCAGAGATTTTGGAAAGATTTCTGTTATGGGTTTCATTGTGCCCTCCCCGCCCCCCATTCATATGCTTAAGTCCTGATCCCCAGTATCTGGGAGTGTGATTCTGTTTGGAGATCACTGAGATGTAGTAACTAGTTACGCTGAAGTTGTTAGACTGGCCCTGACCCAATAAGACTGAGTCCTGATGGCAAGGGGAACTTAGACCTGGACACATTCGGGAGAACGCCGTGAGAGGAAGGCAGAGATGGACAAGCCCGGTCCCAGCAAACAGCCAGAGACTGGAGAGGCCCGCACGGCCTCCCTCAGCACAGAAGGAACAGCCCCGCCCACACCTCGACCTTGGCCTTCTGGCTCCAGAACCAGAGACAGTGCATTTCTGTGGTTGAAGCCGCCCCCTCTGCGGTCCTGGGTTATGACAGCCGAGGCCACTAGTCCAGCGTCTCTCCTGCTTCACGCTCCACCCTGAGGAGCCAGCTCAGCTTGAGGGGAAGCTGCAGTGGAGACATGCCTGTCTCTGCTTGCCCTGCCCTGTCTAGTGCCCTGCCCCCCTCAGGGTCTCACACCCGCCCAGGTGCTCACAGAGCTCACGCTGCCACCAGAGTCCGCACCCGCTGTCCCAGTGAGGAGAGTGCCGTCCCCTGCTCCCTTCAGAACGGACACTTGCACCGCCCCCTTCCATCCTGGCGGCCCTCGTCCGTCTGTCCTGACTGTGTGTGTGTCCTCATCAGCACCTGAATGCCATTTGCCCAGACCAGTGGCCTCTGGATAGATGACCAGCGCCACGGTGGTGTGGGAGACACCGTATTTCTGCAGGTGCCTACAGAGCCTGTGCCCTAAATGCCCCGCCGAACCCCGAGGCCAGTGGTCAGGAGATGATGTTGGTGATGTTGAAACACTATGATGTTGAAACGTCGGTCAGAGGCCTGCGCGGCTCCAAGACCACAGCCTGCCTGCAGCTCAGCGGCTGTGGCTTGCTAACCACCCTCCGCTCACCGCGGGCTTTCTTTTGAGGGGGATTTGGAAGAAGCAGAGCGGTTGAAAATTTGGTCTGCCCAGGGGAAAACAAGAAATACAACTATGACGAAACTGGCTCTGGCTTATGCTCCCTGTCCCGTTGAGTGGGCTACCATTTCCTACCTACTCTTACCAAGTGTCCCGGACTCGCTGGAGGGTCTGGCCCCAAAGGGGACGGAGCCGCCGCCAGGCCTGGGTCTGGATCAAAGCCCCGCAGTCACTCACTGAGCGACACTGTGCAAAGGAACCTCTCTGAGCCACGGGGTCCCCGCTTGCAAAATGCAAATGGAAATGCCTGCCTCCAGGCGGGTCACGTTGGCTTCCAGGACCTGCCGTGGCCTGGCGCCTGGCACAGGAGTGTGCGCAGTGTTCATCTCACCCTCTACTGAGGCGGGTAACTCCACCCAACCTGCCTCTTCCTTTTCCAGAGAGACCCAGAGGAAGTGAAGCGCTGCACTCATTAACTACATGGTGCCCACGTCCTGTTTATTTGTGGGGACATCAGACGCATCGTACCAGCGGTCCCAGCCGGAGGTGTCTGCAATGCAGGGGAGGGTGAGTGCAGAGTGGGGAGTGTCTGGGACCATCTCAGATGGAGCAGGGGTGCTGTTGGAGTCCAGTGGGGGACAGGACGCTCTGAAAGGCCGGCTGCCCTGTGTGCTGGAGAGTAGTCCTGCCCAGATGTCCCCTTTGAGAAACACTTGCTGTATGCCCTTTCAGTGGCCGTAGGAGAACCTTAAGCCATAGGCATTCGCATCCCTGCTGTGCATGTGGAGATACCGAGACGCGGGGCCTAGGGACCTGCCGGGTGAGGGAGGGTCAGACCGAGACCAGGCTCCCAGCGGGCCCTTTTCAAACAACAGGGCCCCTAGGACACCTGCTGCGTCAGCACTGGCATCTGGCTTGGGGCTGCATTGTTCTGGTTTCCCCTCTGTCTGCCAGCATTACTGGGAGTTCCTCTCTCAAAAATGTTGAAGACCAAGTTTTTCATAAAAGGTTATTTAAAACCTGAGGTTCCTCCTTCAACCCTTAGAGGAGTACATCATGGCGTTTTCTCCTTTAGGGGGACTCGGCCCTCCTATCTCTGCTGCTAAAGCCAGAGAGGGAGAGAAAGAGAGAGAGAGAGAGAGAGAGAGAGAGAGAGCGAGCGCCAGCCCTTGCCTTCATTCCCCGTGCATATGGGACTCACAGAGAGGCGCCAGGCTGGCCCTGGTCTTCGGTGCTGCGCGGCCTCCAACCACAGGAGAATAGTGTTTGCAGATCACAGCAGCCGGGTCAATATTTGTCCGTCCAGTTCCTGGAACCAGGAAGGGACCTGGGTGATTAGCAAACAGAAAGGGACCTCTTTTTCCACGTATCCATCCCGCCGGCCCAGCAGCAAACAGCGAGTATGATCTGGACCCCTGGGTTGGCGGAGATTCTGACCCAGGTGCTGCCGGCGGCCATGGGTGCTGAAGGCAGGGGTCGGGGGACGTTGCTGTCCATCCTTTACGGGTGCTGTGTGCTCCGGGCAGCGGTCCTTAAGCAGCGCCCTCACCTAGGAATGCGAGATGCTAACTCAGCCTGCCCTGCCAGCAGTCATAGCACGTGGGACTCAATCCGTCCTGCCGCACACCTTAAACTTAAACAGCGATGCGTGGCGAGTGCTTCCCAGTACAACTGGGAAAAAGGAATGTGAGAGAGGCACAATCGTCCCTACTTCACAGAAAGGAAGCTGAGGCCTGTGAACTTAGCTGAATGCCAGAACCTGGGTGCTGGGGCCACTCAGAGACGGTCTGCTTCCCCGGCCAAAGCCCTCACCTCTGACCACTCAGTGCTTCCCTAAGACTTCAAATAAACAGAGTCCGTGCACAGAGAACAGCCTGGGAGGGAACTCAGAAAACAGAGCAAAGTGTCCTGCCCTCCCCCTCTTTCCCCTCCCTTCCCCTCCCCTCCCCTCTCCTCCCCTCCCCTCCCCTCTCCTAAGAGGTCCGTAAAGTGGATCATGGACCCGCTCACCGCATGTCCCCGGTTCTAGAGCCAAGCCGAGAACCAGTGAATCTTGAGGTGACGGGATGGAGGTGACTTTTATGTTCTTCTTTGTGTGCATTTAGATTCTCCTCATTTCTCACAAAGAGCATGTATCTTCTTTATAATGAAAACAAATCACTGTTAAGAAAAAGTGTTTAATCACACCCATGAAGCAAAAGGAAAGCTGGTCGGGCTGGTGCAGTGGTTCCAATCAAGAGGCACTTGTGAGACGTAAAGGCTCCCTCCCTCCCAGGCTGAGTCTGAGCCTGCGGGGGCTGCATGCCTCTGGCCTGTCTGGTGTGTGAGGCACAAGAAAGCCCAGGTGGGAGCCATGGACGCTCAAGGTCAGACCCAAGGACATCCGGGCCAGGCCCCGCGGGGGTCTGCTACACCTACCAGTGTTTGAAACCCCGCCTGTGGGTCCATGCAGTGCTGTGGGCCTTGTTTCATGAAGACACGGTTGTTTTTTGAATGAATGAGAGCATTCACTGAGGAGAAATCAGTTACTCTTGGCTGGCACGTAAACTACCTGGCCCTTTACATACCTTCCCACGTGACAGGGAAGAAGGCAGGGAGGTGCGTGTTTTGGATTGTGTACAGCCCACCTCGCAGAGCTGGGGGCGGGGGCGCGGGGGCAAATCGTGATGTGCAGTGCCCGGCCAGGGCGAGCAGAGAGGGAGAGGGATGGATGTATGGAACTGGTTCTCCTGATTATGGAGGATGGCCATCAGGCGGGAGGCGCAGGAAGAGAGGATGTTGCAGTTCAAGGCCCAAGGCCTCTGCTGGTAGATTCCCTCCTGCTCCCGGCAGGTCGGTCTTTACTCAATGAAGACCTTCACCTGATTGGATGAGGCCCACCCACATGGAAGGGCAGTCAGCCTTACCCACCAACTGAAGTGTTAATCTCCTTGTGATCAATAATGTAATACCTGGCAGGGGTACTTCTCAACCCTCCTCATCTTTTCGTCCATCCCCCACGCCCCTCCCACCCGGCGGCCATGAAGCATAATAATCATAAGATCCTGTCGACAGAGATGAGTGCTGTGCAGGAGTGAGGTTTGGCCCCGCAGCCAGGAGAGGGACAATGGGCAGCCCACATCTGGGCTTCATTCCCAGGCCCGAGCCTACCCTGGGTCAGCTGCTCTCTCCTGTGAGGGAGGGGAGCAATTTCTAGAAGCTTCTTAGCACAGTCTGTTTCCTTCCTTCCTTCCTTCCTTCCTTCCTTCCTTCCTTCCTTCCTCCTCTTGCTTTGTAAAAGAGCTTGGAAACACCACCGAGCAGCCCTCAACACATCAGGGTGTGGGCATGGGCCCCCGGAACCCCGGGCTCCACTGGAGGCTGCGGTGTCACCCTGGGTCATGCTGGGCAGGAGGAGAAGGAGCCAGAGCAGCCAGCGGGCAGAGGAGGGCGGAGAAGCCTGTGCGGGGAACCCCCGAGGCCCCTCGCCCCAAGCGTGGCACTGAGGAGTCAGCGGGAGGGGCAGGCCACGGTTCCTCCAAGCAGCGGGGAGGGGCCGAGCACCCGAGGGCCCTGTGTGCGCGTGTGACCGTGTCAGAGCCGAGAGGGCAGCTGCCGCGGCCAGTCTGGATGGAACCCCGAGGTGAGCACCCAGAAGGGTCTTCCCAACCCAGACACTAACGCTCGTCTTCCTGTTGGAGACACTCAGCCGGTTTAATGGCCCCTCCCACCAACCCAGAGCCCTTTCCTTGGCCATCGGCGCCTGATGCCATCTGACCTGTTCAAGCACCACAGCCACAGCGCCTGTTTCTGTCCCTCCGATGGGCCTGTGCTCACAGAAGCGCCCCCTCGCCACCTTTCCCCTCATCCGACCATTCTAGTGAGGGCCTTCCCAGCACCCCGCATGCATTTACAGGTTTCATTTCCTCAGGGCGGAGGTGGTCTACCACTCCCATCTGTGTCCCCAAACCAGGAGCCTGTCGGCCTGATTCATTCCTGGCACGTATGAGGTGCTCAGTGTGTTTTTGTTGAATGAATAGATGAATTCAGGCAGCCACTAAAATGCCGCATAACAACAGCCTGGCCTCTGTGACTTACCCACCAGACCACTCTCAAATCCACACTCTGGAGGCGCGTGGGAGCGCTGTGCGGCCAGACTCATGTTTTAGGTTTATTGCTGATTCTGAAGTACTGGCCACTGGCCTGCATGTCACCACCCCCAGGGGCTAAGGAATGGAAATATGCCAACCAGACACACCCCAGCAAGCCAGCCGCCTGGGAGAGCATGGAAGGGGGCGTGCCGGGGCTCAGGGGCTGGGTCTGTGACCGGATCTCTGCTGATTGGGGTGACTGAGCCTCAAAAGTGGCCTCGGGGCAGCACATGCAGCTCTGCAGGGTCAGGTGGACCCTCACACAGAGGCCCGTCCCCATGTCCCCGGGATCTGCAGGCCCCACGCGGTTTATTTATTTCCTGTGCGTTATCGTGTCACCCGCGA